CCACCACCACCCCCACCACCACCACCCCCCCCAGCAGCAGCAGCAGCAGCAGGAGCAGCACCACCAGCAGCAGCAGGAGCAGCAGCAGCAGCAGCAGCAGGAAAGATGATGCTTCGTTATTTATTTAAGAAGCCTCCTGGTGGTGGTCCCGCCCCTCTGATTCACAACCCCGTGCGGAGCTGGATTCTGCTGCTGATATGTCTCCATATGTTTCTGTTTACTGTTGCTGCTGCTGCTTTTGCTTTTCCTTCTATGGGGGACCTCTATTGTGTACCCCTTCTTAATAACTCCACTTACTGCGCTGTATGCTCAGGTATGCATATATACAAACCCTAAACCCTAAACCCTAAACCCTAAACCCTAAACACTAAACACTAAAACCTTATTCTGACGCAGATAGACAGGCAAAATACTAAACACTAAACCCTAAACCCTAATGCTTAGGCTGACAGAGAAAATACTAAACCCTAAACCCTACTTCTTATGCAGAGAGACAAAACCCTAAACCCTAAACCCTACTTCTTATGCAGACAGACAAAACCCTAAACCCTAAACCCTAAACCCTCTTTATCAAACATGAACATTGCTTTACCCCCCCTTGTTCTCCTGTCTTCACTGATAAATCCTTTTTTCCCCTGCTGCTGCTGCTGCTGCTGCTGCTGCTGCTACTCCTGCTGCTACTCCTTCTCCTGCTACTCCTGCTGCTGCCACTCCCGCTGCTGCTGCTGCTGCTGCTGCTGCTGCTGCTGCTTCTGCTTCTGTGTATGTATGCAGCAGTAGCATTCGCGATGACGTTTTATTTTTCTTTACTATCATGCGAGTCTTGGGGTACGGAGAGAGAATGGGCGGTAGCATCTATAGTAACGATGTCTATGGCTGTCGCCGATATATGCACTGCAGCATGGGGTATGATGGTGTTTGTCTCTTCTTCTGCTTCTATATGGGGAGCTGAGGAGACAGCTGAAAACTGCCAAGACTGGAAAACACATTTCTTCTATTATGCTACTGCTGTTGTCATCGGAGCACATGTTGCTGTCGCTCTCAGCTGTGCTGCTGTTGCTGTGCTCCTCACCAGAGGAGTGGGCACGCAGCTAGAAGAACTCAGACATCTTGTCTAGGGTTTAGGGTTTAGGGTTTGGGGTTTAGGGTTTAGGGTTTGGCTGCGAGAGCTAACCCTGACGTCATCGGAGCACATGTTGCTGTCGCTCTCAGCTGTGCTGCTGTTGCTGTGCTCCTCACCAGAGGAGTGGGCACGCAGCTAGAAGAACTCAGACATCTTGTCTAGGGTTTAGGGTTTAGGGTTTGGGGTTTAGGGTTTAGGGTTTGGCTGCGAGAGCTAACCCTGTTGTCATCGGGGCGCATGTTGCTGTTGCTCTCAGCTGTGCTGCTGTTGCTGTGCTCCTCACCAGGGGGGTGGGGACGCAGCTAGAAGAACTCAGACACCTTGTATAAACCCTCGAGGGTTTAGGGTTTAGGGTTTAGGGTTTAGCGTAGGCAGCAAACCCTAAACCCTAGGGATGCATGTTGCTGTCGCTCTCAGCTGTGCTGCTGTTGCTGTGCTCCTCACCAGAGGAGTGGGCACGCAGCTAGAAGAACTCAGACATCTTGTCTAGGGTTTAGGGTTTAGGGTTTGGGGTTTAGGGTTTAGGGTTTGGCTGCGACAGCATACCCTGACGTCATCGGCGC